CTAATTTAATACTTCTGTCTGATTTAACATGATCTGATTTTACATTCGTAATCGCCAAATTGAAATAACAAACATAAAATATGAAGTTAAAAGAGTTGCCAATCTACATGGATTGAATTGTTTCCACTTGTTTGTAACCATTACACCCAGGTGATGGAGAATTTATAGATTAGGAAAGGAGGCCATCAAACATGCTCAAATATATTCAATAAAATTTCTAATTCTAATATATTACACCTTACTTCATTTAAGAGAAAGTCAAACAGTATAAAATGTGTGGTTAATATTCTGTGGTAGTGATTTTGACTTTTGCTGCTTGATCTCTCTTTCATGTGTTTTATGTTTGAAATAATCGTCCACTCTTTGTAATTTTGTAATGAAATATTTTAAGTGCAACCAGTTTGCTCTCCATTTTTTTAATAAATTCATTTATCTAGGTTGTCAATTCCATCTGTATCCTGTCAATTACGGGCAGAGTGGCTTCTTGTGATGGCACTATCCATATATGGAATGGGCAGACTGGAAAGCTCATTGCAGCTCATGCTGAGTCATCTACAACTTTTCCACTCCAAACCCCATCTATTGAGCAGGCAAACATGCTTAATCAGGACGCACTCTCAGGTGGAATATTGTCAAATGCATTTCGTGGTAGTTTATATACGACTATGCATTATATGGAATCTGAGGGCATACTTGTTGCTGGTATGGGAAATGGTTCAATCAGGTATTAATCTTGTGTCATCAGTTTTTTTTATTTGTTTGATTATGTCCTATGAATATATGTTGAGGAAAATATCTTTCCGACTCTTTGACTGGGGAAGGCTTGTATGGCCAGCACCCAGCAGGACCTGACAGGATGCAATACACCGGCAAAGACATAACAAAATGGGGAGAAAATTTACTTGAACTGGTTAGGTAGTGATATGCAATACTTTCTCCATTCCAAATAATTAGTCACTTTGGCTTTATCCTAAGTCAAACTTCTCTAACTTTGACCATGTTTATAGAAATATATACTGACATCTACTCTACCAAATAAATGCAGTCTAAAGACATATTGCATGGTGGATTGAAAGAAACTAATTTGGTACATTTTTTGACATTTGATGTAGCCATTTTCTTCCCTTTCTTCATGTTTTTAAGGGGATCGGCACCTATGGTGCCTTCATCTAGGAGCTTTTGTATGATGTTCTTGACCACAAAGCAATTCTTGAGCATATGACCCAAGATGCGATGGAAGTGGCAAAAAATTGGCTCATTGAATTTGGAAGTTTCTTCCGGCCTTTTTGGTTTAGGGAGCTCAATATGGTTTAACTCCCGTAGGCCTGTAAAGAGGCCCTCCACTTCTTTGGGGAAGGAGTATTTCTGGTTTTGGCGCTCACTTTTTTGTTAGAAAACGCGGGAGAGCTGCGCTAAGAGAAGAAAATGGTCCCCATACAGACTCATCTCATACGGGGACCAAATATCAGAGGTGGTTTTAGCAGCAAAACAAAGAAGAACACTTGAGACAAACAACACACGACCTGACCAGAGCTACAAAGAAAATTAGATTCTACCACCAAGCTCCAAACCTTGCAGCTTCTTTGCTCCGGCTAAGGCACCAGAGACTATGTTCATCCTTGAACTCCCTCAGAATCGATGTAACCGAAGCTGCAGCACCCTCGAAGACACGCATTCCTATGCTTCCAGATAATCCAAGTGTGCAGAATTATTAGAGAATTCACTCCCTTTCTGTGCTCTTTCTCCACCCTTTTCATTGTCTTGCGCCACCAGTTGGCAAAAGCTACGCTCATTCTTCCTAGGAACAGACCCAGCTAGTCCAATTGGAACAAGCAATCTGAACCAAACTTCTCTTGCCACTACACATGGTGTTAGTAGGTGTTGTATAGTCTCATCCTCTTGATCACAAAGGGGGCACTTATCCGGATGTGGCGCTCACTAAGAGTCGGCCTACTAGGAGCTGATGCACCTCCCTTATTTTGGAGCCTTGTGCTCCCAGTTTAGAACTTCTAGGGGACCACAGTAGTCTCCATATCCAGCATTTGCTTCAATCTGGCAGGCAGCTTATCATGCTAGCCACTTTTCTCTAGCGGCTTGTTCAATGATCTCGCTGGGCGGGAGACGTTGCATATACTTTTCAATATCTGTAGCCTTTGATGACAATTTTTCAAAAGTTATTGACCGCATATCTTGTAGGTGGTATAGCAATTTGGGACCAGGCTCCCTAGGACCTAGGAACAAATGCAAGATGCCTTCCTTGAGCGTTTCTATAGTACTCAAAGGACGGTAGGAATCACCTTCTCAAACTCTGCAAAGAGAACATTTGGAAAGAGCGTAACAGGAGAATTTTCAACAACGGCTCAGAAACAGTGCTACAGGTGGCTGCAAGAATTAAGGAAGACATAGAGCAGAGAAAAAGAGCATTAGCAAGCCTCCACTGTCCACCACTAATCACAGAACCAGAACTCCAGAAGCGGTTTGTATGTGCATGAACAACTTGAGCTCGGACATGGCCATCTACCTCCAAGGATAGACTCGGTCAAAGTTAGAGAAGTTTAACTTAGGATAAAACCAAAGTGACTCATAATTTGGAACGTAGGGAGCAGGAGTTTGCGAGCATTATAGTGTTTTTCTAGAAGGATAGTGATATGAAGCTGAGAGCATAATTCCTTTCTCTCCAAATCTCGTTATTTTACTGTACTTGTTCTTGATAAGTAGCCTGAATTAGTCTATTAATTATTTCGTTGCACATTGGTTGAGTTCTTGCAGATTTATTGACATATCTCGGGATCAGAAGCTACATTTATGGAAGAGCGATACGGCTGAAATATCTTTCTCATCACTTGTGTCAGCTATTTGCTCGTGTGGCTCAAACAAGCTTAGGAAAGGAAGCCCAATGGGTTCATCCTGGATAGCAGCAGGTTTAAGTTCTGGATATTGTCGATTGCTTGATAAGCGTAGTGGGAACATCATTGCAGTTTGGCGAGCACATGATGGACACATTACAAAGGTATGCTAATGCACTCCTAGCCCTCTGCCGCAGAATGGTAAAAGAAAGCTTTGATTACTTTGACATTTTCTGATCTGATTTTTTGTTTTCTATTCGCATTTATGCTTATAGCTGGCAGCGCCAGATGATCACTTAATTGTATCAAGTTCCCTTGACAAGACTCTTCGAGTGTGGGACCTCAGAAGGTATTATTTAGTTGATGCAAATAACTCTGTGAATTGACCTATTTGGATGTAGCTTTTTTATATTGTTAATGTATACAGGGATTGACATAGATAAAAATGCTGGGGCTGTCTTCTACTATTTTCTTTTTTGGAATTGTTTTAGATGAACACCTTCCCAGGTTGTACTGTAGCAACATTAGTTAGTAATCTGATGGATTCCTGAACTTAAATGGCACACAACACACATTGAAACACTGCTCTTCAAGATTGGATGATATGGATTCCTTGTATGCCTTCTGGCTTGCATGTTCATAATTTTTTTTTTGGGAAAACGTGATAGGAATCTGGCAACACAGTCAAACATTTTCAGAAGTCATTCAGACGGTATTTCCAACTTCTCTGTGTGGGATCAGGACATGGTATCAATTTCAAGGAACAAAATTGCACTAACTTCCCTATCGAGACCAGCAAGTGAAGTAAGACTTTCCTTTTCGTTAGAAGCACCATTGTTCAATCTTGAAAGAATTTACTGCTTCCAAGTTCCAGCAGTAGTGTACCTCCCATTTAGCAATTTTTATAAACTATATGAGATGGAAATCTAATTGGCTCTTATGAAAGTGATTTCCATTAATTTCTAAGCAGATTGGACATCAGCAGCTTGCACTTCAGAATTTGTATTCGGCTGACAGAGGGGTGAAACACAAAAATCTATCTGTCCTTTCAACTATTGCTGTGCTTCCTTTGTCAAGGTTGTTTGTGGTTGGAACTGAAGATGGATTCCTCAAAATGTGCCACTAGGTGCTTCTCCAGTACTGGAGTACTGGTGACCATCTCTCATTGTGAAGTTTTGGTGGTTTCTCTCTTTGCATCTGTTGAGTTGAATTTTGTGGTGGAGCCGTTTCATTTTGCTGTGTGTGTGTGTGGGGTGGGGGTTAGGGCATATATATTCACATTGTACAGGAAATACATTGTGTGCACTTCGTCTGTATGAAAGCTTCAAATTTTGCTTGATCTTTTTTTTTTTCTCTTGAAACAACGCATCCGCTTGACGCTTCATTTCTTTGTTTTGATGGAAGTCCGATAAGCTGAAGTATAGAGCATAGACTGAAAAAATTGGAGTATGTTGGAGTACTATTAGCCTGTCTTGGTTGTCAGGCATATCACTACGCCTGTCGACTGGGCATTGGCTTGCTCTACCAACCAAGCTGAGGGCGCCTTGAATTCTAGCTTTCCTCTGCCTGATTCGCTGCAGACCTGGGACAGGTAGGATTCTGGTGGGTTAAATGTGGGTTGTTGGGTGGCCACAGGTGAAAGTAAAGAGGCTTTACTGCACTCTGAAACAGTGCTTGGGCAGCATCAGAGTTCTGTGCTACCACTAATTGTGTCGTTTTAAGCTGGGGTCAAGGCTGGGATTTATGGTCTTAACTCTTAAGGAAAGGTTAAGACAGAACCGTACTGTCTGGGTAAGATGATATCCATGGTCCATGCATCTGTCCTTTGTAGCCAGTTCAATTACTGCCAAGGCCATGTGGGTCCTCCTGCAAAAGAACCATGTGGCGGGTCCACGTTTCAGCGAGGAGGTACGCAGCCGAACATGCCCCGCCCATGAGGCCATGGCCCACGAGCTGCTGCTCCTCCATCAAGGCTTGGACAGTGCACCAGTAGCTCTGCTCAGCGCCTCAAACTTTCACTTGTGCAACTAATGACGAGCAATGGCGCATATAAATGTGGGTGCCGAGCAACGAGCTCCTGGTGACCCAATCCGATCAATCAGACTACTATCAGACTGTGTGAGCAGAGCAAGCCGTAGCGCGCGACCAGCAGCCATGGAGAAGAGAAGCAGTGGTAGCGCCAGCCTCGTCCTCGGCCTCGTGCTGGCCGCCTCCCTGTTGTGCCAGTGCCACGGCGCGCGCGACGTCCCCGCGGAGCCGGAGAAGCCCCTCCGGCCCCAGAACGTGTTCGGGTTCGGCGGCTTCTACCCGGGCCCCTCCGTCAACTGGGTGTTCCCGGGCCCCAACGGCGTCACCCCGCAGGTCGGCTTCGGCGGGATGCCGGGCTCTAGCGCCTTCCCGGGCGTCGGAGGCAGCGGTGGTGTCTCGCCGTTCACGCCCGGCGGCGGCGGTGGCGTGGTCGGCATCCACGGTGGTGCTGGTGCTGATGCCGCGGCGAAGAAGCCGTGAGACGGTGAGAGGGGAGCAGGTGGCCCGGAATGTGAGGCCGTGTTGTGCACTGTAGGTGGTTGAGTGAGGGCCGTGTGTGAGTGAGGTGGTGATCGAGCTTGGTATGCTTTGTGAGAGTGTTGTTAGTGGCATAAGCGAGTTCTTGCTGCGGCTGGCTGTCGACTTCACTCTCGTACGTGTTGTGTCCTGGTTATCAGTGCTTTGTGTCATGTAGTATTTGTGTGCGAAGGACTTCTTTCTCATCATGTGGTGTCTGCGAGTATACATCTGGATCTTGTGGTTCTCGATCTCCTTTTTCTTTTCGCCGTGTGTTATTCAGTTCTTTTGTATTGTATCCACCTATGGTCGATGTTAGCATGGATGCTCATTAGTACGTGTCCTTAAGAGATTCACATTTTTTAGATAATTAAGTGATTCACTATGATCAACACGGCACATCTTTCTTGCGGTTACATGAAGGTAGAAATTCGCATCGTGCCGCTGCCCTGCAGCACTGCAGCACAAGTTTTTTTTTTCAATCACATTCCCCATCAGTGCTCTGGTGTTCTTTTCCACCCCACAATTTTACATTATATATATTCATCCACCACGCACGACATTTATCATCAAGTATTTACTAGGAATGATGCATAGCCTTGGCTCCTCAGGTGGAGACGAAAGGGTGGAGATGGGGGCTCACCGTGGGCTTGAGGATGTCAGAATAGCGGAACAGTGACGAGGTGGAACAATGCCATGTCGAGCCGCTACACCCGGTGTAGTTGATTGGGGCTGCGTCCTCGGCTCCGCGAAAGGGCTGTTAGTTAGTGTGGGATAGTCCCGTCTCTGATTTGTGGGACGAGATGACTTTATTTTCTGTTTGGTTGAGTAGAGATGGAACCAACCTGTGAATGACAGGTGGGGCCATTTGTCGGGTTTTTTATTATTTTTTCTTTTTTCTTTTCTCTCCTTATCCTTTCGGTCACGAGCTTCTCCACGCCACCTGCGACTCCGCGCGACAGCACAGGGCAGGCTCCCCCGCCGGCGACTCGCGCACCAGGGCTGGACGCGTGCCGCCCTGGGCTTCCTCCGCGCAGCAGGGCCGGCTCCCCCGCTAGATCCCGGACGCGCGCCGGCAGGCCGCAGCTCGTCTGCTCGGCGTCGTGGCCGGAGCTCGTCTGCGCACTGGCGAGGTCGCAACTCGTCCACCTAGCGGCAAGGTCGGAGCTCGCCGTTGTGGCGGCGGCGATGGCGAAGCTCTCCCATGCAGCCATGCCTGGTGCGTCTCCTCTCCTTCCTCTCCTACGCCCATTGCCCGCCTCCTCTTCTTCGTCGCGAGCTCGTCCCACCTGGGGCGACCCCGTCCGTGAAATTTTTGAGGACGGGGTCGCCCCGCATCTACACGGAATATTCCGACCTGTGACGTCCCTGTCCCCGTTGGACTCCCAACCAAATAGCCCCGGTCCCATCCCTGCTGGTCCTCGCATCCAAACACTACCTTAGTGTTCTTCCTTGAGTAGCTAGGGCTCTGGGTGGAGAGAGGTGCCCACTGGTGGCGCAGTGTTGGATCGGAGAGGAGGGCTCAACATGGCTAAAATAGCCACGCCGGCCATGGCCACGATGGCAGATGACAAGAGATGGATTGGGGGAACATGTGTAGGGCTATCAGCGCTTGGGGCTAGGTTTTCTTGGGCATCCGGGTGGTTGAGGTGATGCGAGGCTAGGTGTGTAGCACCCAGTCAAAAAGCGGCGAGGGTGATAGGTGGCGGTGACAATGGTGGCAGGTGTCACGCCCCGGACATGCCCTTGTCGCCTACTCATGTGGGAGTGGCCGCACCGCGCATCGGCGACATGGCGTGAATTCGGGGAAGGCATGGAGGGGGCAGGGTACGAACAACGAGGATGCGCATGGGGGCGTCGAGTGCGGCCAGAGGTGGCCGTGCTCTACTTTGATCTGAAACGAGAAAAAGGGGTAAGAGAAGAAGGGGATGACAGGTGGGGTCGGCCAAACCACCAGGAGGTCGGGCAACCTCTTCGATCCACCGTCCTTCAATCCAAGGCTTCATATATAGATATCCAAGGTGATCCCATCGACTTTGGCTATCTTAACATGCAATGGTGGGCCCTCTAATCCAAGTGAAGCTCCACCTCAACCACAGGATCAAACTGACTTGCAACCAACATGTCCGATCATTCCAAAGTGTTTTTCTGGCTTGTGGTGTGGATTGATGACATGGAGGGGCTTTGGCCAGGCTAGCCGAACCCTGGTGGGGTCGAGCGACCCCTTAGGTGGGCCCGAGACCTCATCCTTTGCTCGTTTTACTTCCTTTGGTACCTGCATTCACATATTTTCATATACAAGTGGAACTATATTATTTAAAAATAAAATACTACTATGAAGTTGATTTCAACTACCGATATGTTGACGGTCGGATTAAGCATTTAGTGACCATTAACAAAGAATTCATGAACTCTGTCTTGTAGATGCAAAATAAGTATTTATAGACGAGAGTCATCCTCCCGCATGGGAGGAAGCATGATCTCGACTTGGTGGCAATGTGAAAAAACCTAATGTGACATCCTCTTTCATCCTAGGGTCGACCCACTTAAAGGAGTGGGCTGATCGGCCCAAGGTGTTCTTTCCCTAGATGATACTCATTTTTTTCTCATTCTTGCTCCTTGGATCATGGTAAGTCCAAGTCATCCATATATAGTTCCCGTATCCAAAAGCAGCCTTTTCCCCTCATTTTCTACAAATAGTAACATGCACATAAACACAATGATACTCCAATATGAGTTCAATGTTAGTTGCCAAGAGGCACATATGCTAAGAGTACTACATGAATTTGCCACTAAAATCAGTAATGAACACATATGTGAGCGCCAACACTAACCCTTGCTATAACCTATTTGTTGTTACTTTATGAATCACACCATCCAAAATTCAAGTTTATCTGATGCAATTTGGTTTAGAGAAAGTGTTCCTATAGATTTGAAGTTAAATCACAACAATTATTGTGCATTTGTACCTATCATTTAGATGTCTTACCACAATGGCATAAACTCTGACTGCTGAAGAGATTGAGGAGGATGAGGTTGAATCACAAGATAATTGAGGTGTAATATTGGTGCTCTTTGGTCTATTAAGGAGTAGAATGTAACTAAGTATTCCTTTAAGACTGATATTGTGTTAGTAGGTCTAGCACTAGTCTCTTCATGAAGGTTGATTAATTAATGTTAGATTTGTTGTTTAGTTTTTGCTTTGGGTGTCATATCTCAGGTATAGGAGGAATAGAATTGGACAGAATTGTATTGTTTGCATTAAGCCTCTCTGGCATTATATATAGAGAGTTCCACTACTGCACAAAGCTTAACCGAGGCGGGCAATAAGCCTTAACCAAGGCTGGCAAGCCAACCGCCTCGGTCAAAAGGTCACGGTTAATCATGGCCTTAACCGAGGTAGTTGGCCAACCGCCTCGGTTAATCAATTAACCGAGGCGGACGGCTTTACCCAACCACCTTGGTTAATACATATTAACCGAGGTGGTTGCCTTAACCAGCCCGCCTCGGTTAAGATTTTAACCGAGGCGGTTGTGAAAGTTCCTAATATGGCTAGAGGGGGGTGAATAGCCTATTTAAAAATCTACAAGGCACTAGAGCAATTGATTAGTACAACAAACAAAGTAATGTAATTTTGCTCTAGCTCTAAAAGGGTTGCAAGCCACCTATCCCAACAATTCTAGTTGCTATGATCACTAGAGACACACAAGAGCTAAGTCACTACTCACTAAGCTAGTGTGCTCTCAAAGACTAACTATAGAGCCACACTAACCAAACTAACAAGTGCTCAAAGACTAACTACACTAAAGAGCTTGGCAACTAGTTTGCAAGAAATGTAAAGGAGTGAGTTGGGTAATTATACCACCGTGTAGAAGAATGAACCAATCACAAGATGAATACCAATTCAATCACCGGGAGAAATCCAATCACAAGATGACACATGATTTTTCTCTCAAGGTTCACGTGCTTGCTAGCACGCTAGTCCCCGTTGTGTTGACCAACACTTGGTGGTTCGGCGTTTAATAGGTATCACACACCTAGCCCACCACAAGGGCACCGCAAGAACCTACCCACAAGTGAGGTAACTCAATTACACGAGCAATCCACTAGAGTTACCTTTCGGCACTCCACCGGGGAAGGTACAAGACCCCTCACAATCATCGGAGCCGACCACGAACAATCACCAACACGTGCTGATGCTCCTCCACTGCTCCAAGCTGTCTAGGTGGCAGCAACCACCAAGAGAAATAAGAAATCCGCATCCACAACGATCCTCAAGTGCCCCTAGATGCAAACACTCAAGCAAATGCACTTGGAATCACTCCCAATCTCACTATGATGATGAATCAATGAAGAAGATGAGTGTGAGGTGTTTGCTTAGGCTTACAAGGATGTCAAGTATGTCAAAGTGCCAAAAGGGTGAGCCTAGGGCCGGCCAAAACACTTAAATAGGGAGCCAAGCACGAAAAGAGCCGTTGGCCCCCACTGCCTGTCTTCACAAGCCGACCGGACGCGATGATCAAGCATGACCAGACACACGCCCCAGCGTCCGGTCAACCACCGCCGTCCATGTGTCACCTCCATTCGACGTGCGCCACCCGATCTCAATGGTCAAAATGTTTTCGCTCGCGTGGTTAAAGAACGATCGGACACGCCTCTACAAACTGACCTGACGCAGAGATGCCAGAGTCCGCTCAACAACAGAAAGCATCCAGAGACGTTTTTCAATGACTGGACGTGTCCTGTCATTCACGATCAGACTCGCCGGTGCGTCCGGTCATCTCTGCGCCTTCACACCGTGCCAACGTCAGCATATGTCACGCGTGACCTGACGTGCCCCCTGCGCGTCTGGTCCGACACCGCCACCAACGTCCGACGCCTCCTCACATTGCGAAGCTCTCTAGACTGTATGACCGGACGCACGGGCTGCATCAGGTGCAGGGTCTGGTCAGTGCTGCGCCACT